CCAAATCGGGGTCATGAGAAAAAAAAGCAAGAACAAAGCCTAACCTTCAGGAACTCAACAACCAATCACAGCAGACTTAACGTGGGCGGATAAGATTCGCAGACATATATCACTGGACTGTCTAAGAAACGTCAACAAAGAGATGACAGAATAACCTTGAGCAGGAAAACAACCAATCAGAAGACGTTGCTTCTGTGCTAACAATAACTAATAATAATAATGTACATAAAATCTATAAATTTTAGCTGATTTTCTCAATAAACGATCTGTTGCCTGACCCTTGTCTTCTGTCGTTACATAACTAGTGAAACTCTGTATTTTTCTCAAGTTTGATCACGAACTGACATCAGTCAGAGAACCATTGAAAACCACAGAGGAGTACGCGCATCCAAAGCCTTCCGGTTACAAGATCAGCTGGGTTTGGATCCCGGTAGGTGCCTACTGATAAAGAGATCCAAGCACTAGGATGAAACAGCTGTCAGTTTTACTCCCTAGTGGTTTTCCAATAGTTCTCTGACTATTAGATAGTTGGAGGCAATCGGCCACAGGAAGCCTTGGACCTAGGTTTCGCGTTCTAGTTGGCACTCATCAGTAAGGCGTTTCTGCAACCTTGAAGGAACTCATGTCCCTTCTGAGATTCGAACCTGCGTCACCCAGTGCTGCAGTCAGAGACGTTACCACTGAGCTATTCGGGATCGCGATTGACCTCCTGTAGGACTGTAGTGATTGTCCACTCATACATAGAAAACAATATGACTGGTGAACCCATGGTGTAGTTCGTTTACTTATTACACTGATACTATCAATTCATTTTGAAAATATCTATAATAATTAAGCAATAATAAGTCTTTAAGCTGTTGAGCTGAAATAAATGAAATGCTATGAGATCAATGCTCATATTGTTGTAAAAGACATTTTGAGGTTTTCTCTGTATCATTTTACTCCTATTTGTGTTTTGAATGATTATAATGGATAAAGCAGGTTTTTTTAGATTACTGAGTGGTTGCTATTATACGTTTTCGGATGGTTCATTTTCCAGGTTTGCAAAATGTGTTCGGTCTGGAATCAAATAGATTTTTGAGGAAGTGTTGATCTTTTGAAATGATTTCAATATGTTCTCTGACTGACAGACGACATCACAGCTCGTGTTCAAACTTGAAAAAAATCGAACTTTTACAAACCAACTCTTGAAAATTTAGCACATCTTTTCTAGTTAAACATCACCTATTGAAGGTACACAGATGGTAATAGTATGTTGGCGAAGGTAATTGTGAATGAGTGTTATAACTGACTTATTACCATGGTGATTTCAATTAGCCTTGTGATAAACATTAAATGGTAATAATCATAATCATAATAATAATAATAATAGTAATAGTGTTTATCAAAATCACACAGTTACTGAAATGATGGACAGTGATGAAAGCAGATACATGCATACATGCAAACACACATATGCACAAGTCGAACACACACACACACACAAACACGCATATACAAGTGTGGCCGACAATATACAATATTACAGATTTATGACACTTTGAACATAATTGTGAAATTCGTCACATCGTAAAACTATATAACTTTAATGCTGTGAAAAAGGGCATATATATATATATATATATATATATTGTTATTCACAAGTGTATGAGAAATGCATTTCATCCAGCTTGTGTGTTGCAGTTTTGATTTTTGTGGAAGGTGTTCGTCGTTGCTAAGTAATTGCTCCATGGTTTCTTTTGCTAGTTTTTGTCCGATTGAGGTATACAATGCTGTGACGTCGGAGGATATCATTATTTCTTGTTCATCTATTTGAATGCCTTTGATTTCCTCTAGAAATGGGAGAGCAGAATTGATGGAGTGATCACAAGATTCCGTTAGGTGTTTCAGTTTTCTGTATAATTCTTTAGATAAGTTATATGTTGGAGTTCCTGGAAGCGATACAATTGGTCGTAATGGGATATTTGGCTTGTGTATTTTGGGTCTGCCATGGTAATCGGGGTAGGACTGGTCCATTGGATTTCATTTACCATTGGTCTTGTTTTGTGATCTGTCCAGTTTTGGTGAGCTTGTTTAAGGTCCTTTGGATCCGGTTGTCCAATGTTTGCATGGGATTTGTTAAAAGTTGTTGATACACATCCTCGTCTTTGAGTAGTTCTTCAGCTATCTTGGTGTATTCTTCTCTGTCCATGACTACTGTTGTTCTTCTTTTGTCGGCTGGTAGAATGACGACGTCCTTCCTATTTTTCAGCTTTTTGAGGGCCTATAGTTCTTCAGAGTTCAGTTGTGTGTGTTGTTTTTTCTGTTTGACCATTGGTACAATTGTTTGGCGTATCTCTTCCTGTGTTTCCTCGTTCAAGTTTGATGATTTGAGTAATGATTCAAGGGCAGCGAAGAAATCAGTTTTCGAGGCATCTCCGGTGTTGTAGTTTAATCCTTTTTGTAGTAGTTGTTGTTCCGTTTTTGATAGTGGTTAATTTGATAGGTTGACTACGCAGTCGATAGGTGTATTGTCTGGTTGTTTTTTCTAATCTTGGCTAGCTTGGTTTTGAGGACTCTACATCTTTGTTCTCTGTGTTTTTTTTTGTCAATGTAATTGCGGTGATCAGCGTTGACAGGTGTTCCTGGTTGAGGGTTTTCTCTAGTTTTTCTTTTTGGACATTTATTATTTGTTGATATTTGTTGATCCGATAATGAGCATCTGTAATCATTAATTTGATCATTGGTCTTCCACATTGTTCGGATACAAACGACCATGTATTAGAAATGATTCTTATTCAATTGAAACGCATGGCTTCTCTCTATGTCAACATAATGGTTTCTAGTACAAAGACGCCTAGAATATATAAATATGATGTAACTTGATTGATAGTTGGCTAACTATCAGTGGAATTGAAGAATGCGCATTTCCACTCTACTCTGGACTGGTCATGTGGATGGGAATACACATCCGACGAGGAGTGATGGTGTTTTTATCCCATTAAGACAACCTTCTTTTGTAGTTTGAAATAATAATGGATGTTAAGGTTAAAGACAGCCCAGTGGGATAACCTATTTATTGCCTTCAACCACCTCATAACAAGAATTCTGAGTGAACCGTGTTGTCTCAGGCCACTTAGCACAGTGGCCACATTGCAAACTTGATTGATAGAAATCAATCTAACTTCAATCAATATTTGAGGTAAGGGATGTCGAGTGATAGGTAGGTGGGAGTAGAAATCAATCGATGAGGTTGTGAGGTTACATCGATTGAGATGATTAGAACATGTGTTATACATACCTGCCTAGTCATCGCATTCCTCGACAATGGGGAATGTTAGCTGACATGGTATCAGGTTGGAAAAGAACTAGCTAGTGGTTGTGGTCAAACCAAAACATGGCATCATCAGTCAATGAAATCCACAACAGTTAGTTTTAGCCAGCCAGTCACGTAGGCAGATGTATACTGGCTTCTTGGTTGGGTTCCTCGCGATGGTAAAAACCAATGAAGGCTGGAGACAGTTGATGATATGGCTCAAACTCATCGTTCTCAGTGATGACTGAGATGCATTCACTCCTTGTGATTTATAATATCCAATAAAAAATCTATTGTTCTTCCATATTACTATTCTTTTTGTCCCACACTTCTGTTTATTATCTCTCTCCTTTGAATCTCTCTTTATTCTCTTCTTCTTTTGCTTTGTGTCCTACATGGAGTGTGGCGATTCGAACTGCTGCACATGTAACGACAAAAGGCAAGGGTCAGGCAACAGATCATTTATTAAGGAAATCAACGCATATTTATATATTTGCATGTACATTACTATGGATATTTAAGTAAACAAACACAGTCTTCCGATTGGTTGTTTCTCACGTAAAGTTAATCTTTCATCTATTTGTGACTGTTTCTTGAATGTCAAATCCCCTACATGTTAACTGCATCTGCCTACGCAAAGTATGCTGTGGTCGGTTTTGAATCAATCTTTGTTCATATTTTCTCACGACAAATCTTGGGAACGTAGATATTGACGTAAATTACTGTCTACCAATTTGGCTAGTAGACAGCTCTCACCACACATATAGGTGTAAAGTCCACCAGTCAGTCAGTCAGATAGAATTCAATCTACACTAACACCAAGGGCCAGATGTCTTGTGTCTAATCAAAGTAGCTATTAGAGTCTTACAGTAGGTCAATAGACAGTCCAAATAGCTTAGTAGTAGCGTCTTTGACTACAGTAGCGATTGAATCGGGTTCAAACCTTAGAAGGGACATGAGTTCCTACAAGATTACAGGTGCGCCTTGCTGACGAGTGCCAACAAGCAAGACTTCCTGATGATTACATGCAACCATTTAAGAACTTATTTCATCGGAAAGAATTCTTCAGGCTTTTGCAAACAGACATTTGCCGATGAATCTTACATAAAATAAGCAAGGGACCAAGGTTTATGAATTCCTTCCTGCCAATATCACACCTAAAGACATTTTCGTTTTGTCATTTTTGGGTGTTGTTACAAATACATATAATTCCTATTCGATATGCTACTATGCGGAGCAGAGACTTGACGCTACGTCACGAAGGCCATATAGAACAAACTACAGACTTTATCAACAGGTGTCTTCGCTGAATACTACTCAAGATCAGATGGCCGGCCAGAAAAGATCAGCAACAGGGATCTCTGGCAATGAGCGAACCAATCCAGTAGGAACCGATTGGGCAACAAATATGCAGGAAGAAATGGAGGTGAATTGACCATACTCTGAGAAAACAAACCATCAGATGAGTGACATCACACACCAAGCCACCGCTCGATTGGAACCCAAACGGGAAGCGGCGAGTTGGTCGTCAGAATGAGGGTGGCAAGGAGGAGGTCATGTGAAGCGAAGATGAAAGCATGTGAGCAGACGTGGAGCCAAGTGAAAACGTTGGCAGTGGAGACATGAGGCTGGAGACCTATGTCCCTCTAGGAATTAAAGGAAACAATAATATATAATAATAATGTAGACACTACAATAAACTAACCATTTTCATCAGCTGAAGATATCTGATGTACAGGTGATCGATTATGCATACCGGGAGTTAAATGTGATGATGCTATTGACTGACGCATCAAATTCCCATTGAAAACTCCTCCAGCTGTTGAAGTAGTGGTAGTAGTGACAGCAGATGTTGATGTTGTTGTTGAGGCGGCAAAAGCCATCGCCGCTCCACTAGACCGGTTAACAGGACTTGATATACTAACATTGTTTGATAATTTCGACTGACTGACAACTGCATTCGTTGCAGTGATAATTGACTGGGGTAAAGCTGATTCTAGGGGTGGTTTTCGAAGATCTAAATGTGGCACAGCCTAGAAAATACAAAATAGGAAATTTTTGTAACAAAAAAAACACAATTAATTCAAACAAATACTCAAATGTGAGGTTACTAGCCTCAAGCTCAACAGGGGTTTACCAGCTTAACAAGTCTTGGGAGTATGTCGATCGGGATTTCCACTCCGGACCAAGTACGTGATTGGCCAGCATTCCTACAACTGAATCACTGACGCTGAATGATCTACGACAGCACCTTGGCACTGGAGGAATTTCCTACTAAGTTCAAGTTAATTTGATATTTTAAGTGTTGGTTCGGAGGGACTTGATTGATTTTATTACGTATATCACACAGTGAAACAGTATTATTTACTGTATTATTTACCAGTAAATAATACTGTTTCACTGTGTGATATACCTAATAAACAAACTAATATGGAATTACTTACTACCACAGTGCCCAAGTTTTACACATATATTGATTGATTTTAAGTTAGACGATGAAATGACGTATGTCAAAGAACAATTGAAAGCTACCAAAGAGTACTGTATAATTAGGAATCGGACCAAGGACCTTCAGGTTACAGGGCGAGACGGTTGACCCTTCAAACACCCACTACCACCAGTCGGTAAATTCGAATTTCTGCTAATTTACGGTTACATGGCGCCACCGCTAGCTCATCTTATCGGAGAGTATTCGCGTTCACATCGAACTTTAGGGATGGACCCCACTAGTCACAACTTCTTACTATAAATCTACCCGCCGTCCGTCACTATTGAGTAGTATTGATTTGTAAGGATCCGGTTGATAGTTTAAACCAAATTTTATGCACAGCTATCATCAACATGTATAAAGGAGGTAGTATTAATCCACGTTGGATGGAGTGAATAATTACCATTCAGACACAATAGTTGCACACATATATATGATAGAGAAAGCTCTAAAGGAACTACAATAAACGAAAATCTACGGAATAAAGAATAATTACATGGAAGAACATAAAGACTTCATAGATGTGGGAGACTACAAAGGCTGAATGTATCTGCGTCACCACGGAGAACGATTTTGAGCCCTGCGGTCAAAACAGTCTCAAGCCACTGGTTCTTAGCACCTCGACGACCCAAAACGACAGTCTACACTTCCCTATATGGCTAGATCAATCAAGTAAACAGTCAAATAACTTATTTATTGATTCCGCGTTCAATTTTATCCCCCCAACCCATAATTCTTCTCCAACCTCATCCTATGTCAGACAACATTGATCGGATGAGATAGGCAGTGACTCAGTATATGCAACATGTGTGACCCGACCATCTCAATTGATGTAGCTTCACAACCAATTCGATTGATCCTTACTTCTTACCTCAATATTAATCCCCATTGTTTGTTATTACCTCAATTTTGCTTTTCCCGTTGACTGATTCATTCGAAATGTTCGGCTTCTGTTGACATGTCGATTCTAACATTTCGGTCTAGTCTACATCAACTGGAGAAGCAAAATTAAGTTAAAAACAAATGGTAACTGAAATCTGTTGCTGTTGTGGCCTAAGTGGTCTAGTGGATAACGCTTTAGCGTTTGAAACTACGGGTACTAGGTTCGAGTCTCAGTGGGAGCACCTCCACTACTCACTCAGGAATGCAGGCAGATCAAGTTGACGAGTTTCAAACAGGACGAAACGTGCACCGTTGATTTCATCGTTAGTCACCATCCACCGAATTACTCACCATATTATAATATGGGAAACATAACGCAAACATCTGTGGCTAAAGGTAGCTAGCCTTTTCAGATCTTCTAGTGAATACTGACTGGTTTCAACGTAGAACTGTGCACAGACATGCAGCGGTTCCAGTTGCCATTCTCTCCATGTAGCACACAAAGCAAGAGAAGAAGAGAATAAAGAGAGATTCAAAGGAGAGAATAAGCAAAAGTGTGAGGCAAAAAGAATAGTAATATGGAACAACAATAGATTTTTAATTGGATATCATAAATCACAAAGAGTGAATGCATCTGCTCTGACATCGAGAACGATTTTGAGCCATATCACCAATTGTCTCCAGCCTTCATTGGTTCTAACCATCCCGAGGACCCCAACCAACCAAGAGGGATACACCTTTCTACGTGAATGGCTTAAGCTGTTGTGGATTTCGTTGATCGATGAAGACGTGTTTTGTCTTGACCACCACTGGCTCTTTTCCAACCTGACCCTATTTCAGCTAACATCGCCCACTGTCGAGGAAGGCGATGGCTAGGCATGCGTAGCACGTGTCCTAACCATCTCAGTCGATGTAACTTCACAGTCTCGTCGATCGATTTCCCCTCCTTACCTAGCACTGGACCGAAGCCTAACCACAATATTGCTCACCCAATAATACAACTTCACATGGGAGATAGAACGCAGACACCTATGATCAAAGACAGCTAGCTAGGCTTTTCATGTCTTCCACTCTCGATGGCCAGGTCTCACAGCTGGCCATAAAGGAGGACGGAGCGAACTGCTGAGCAGTACACATGCCCTTTGGTTGACAACCGGATACCACGTCTACGTCAGAGACGGCATTCTAGTAAAAACATCATTTAAGAGAACATATACATCAAATTAAAAAAGGCGACGCTGAATACTAACCTGACTTGTTGGACGAGCAGATGGAAATTTCGGTGCAACTATATGTTGATGCCGGGAACTGGCAACCAGTGGATTCGATGGTTCATCATTACTACTACTTCCAGATACTGACACACCACCACCACCAGCGACTCCATGTCCGCCTCCTCCTCCACCATTCAACACACTGCTACCAATACGAACCTGCTGATGTAATGGGACAGGCGGTGGACCAGGATTGGCAAGTTTTGCACGAAATGGTGATACAAATGGTGATAAATTACCAGCCCCCGTAGGATCATTTGAAGAAGAAGTCACCGCCAATGACAACGGTGATGGTGATGACGTAACAGCAGCATTTACATTGAGATGAAAAGGATTGAAAGGAGGATTGGACTATGAATATTGGACGTAATGGCGTAAGTATTATTATAATTATTATTGTTATTATTATGATCACAGCAGCAACATGCGACAGGCCAAAAAATTAATCATGCAGTTGTAAGAAATTAAAAAAAAACACAAAGGCAAACAAAATAAAGTGATTGCTGATTAATGTGCATGCACAAAATAAAAATAAAAATCATAATAAAATGTATAATACAAAGGCAATCAGAAAAGTGATCTAAGCAAATTTTCATTTTCAATCATTCTACTATAATCTCATTATAATATTACACAATTTCAGAATCAAACAGAGTTTCTTATTAAGGATAAATAGTTAAATATTAGCGTTACTCAACAATCATTTGCTATTTCAGTCAGAGGGGTTCGAACCCGTGACTCACTCACTACTGGTTGGAAGTCGAGCACACCTAGACCAACCAACCAATGAGCGACAGCTCCTTTTTTAAAGGGAAAAAATACTTCCAGAAGAAATAAAAACCCAAAACAGAAGCTGATATCAACCACAACGGAGAGTTCATAAAGTTACTTTTACACAAATGGGTTAGTTTATTACAGTTAGACAACCGACACATGTGGACTAGTCCCTAAAGTCGACCTCTCTATAGTGCCAACAGACTTTCTATTTGGATATGTGATAGGGAAGGTGTGTAGCTGTAGGTGAACGGTATTTCTAGTGTAGTTGTGTTCTCTTTGAGCTGTGAGTGCTAACTACAAAGACAAGGTGAGCATTTTAGAATCTCCAATGAGTGTAACGACCGTCTCTCGCCTGAAGAACGTGAATGTGATTACTTGTCTGCAGAGATTTTCTTATCCTCCTGTTTATTTGTATTGGCAAGGTCAAATATCAGTCCAACATAAAATAATCAATATCACTCTACTAGAGAGAACAAAAATCTCCTGAGAAAGACAATTATTACACTCATCGAGAATTGTAAAAGCTCACTCCACCATTTTGAAGTTATCCGTAGCAGAAGAAGTTCTCTAGAAAGGTGAAGATGTAGGGGTTTGGTAATCAGATCAACCTGAATACATTATTGTCTAATATGGGTAATATGTTTTTGATGTCGTTGTGTTCACTGAGCTGGATAGTTAATTTGCCAACCTTTCATTGCCCCCTACTAGACAACATCTTCAGCGCATACTTCAATTTGAATTGAAGTGAGCTTTTCCATTTCTCCACGAGTTTATTAATCATCTCTCCTGATGGGTGACCTTGAACGTCGTGATTGATTGTTTTTCTGTTTTCACATCTTCTAGATTACTTGTATTGGAACTGATTGTTTCTTTGACCATTTGTGTGTGAGGTTACTTTCTTGTCAATTGCTAAATTTTGTCTATCTCAATATGTCTATTGATTAATGATTCACTGGAATACCAGACAGCCTTCTAAAAATTCTCTAGAACTCTTGTTGTTTCCTCTGTCTAATATTTGAGCGCCGGTTGTCCCAGTCGAATTGATGTCCATGGTTGTCTGTATGTAGTGAGGCGATTTAAGTGAGGGAGTGGATGTCATGTCTTTTGACGGCTAGCTAGCTTATGTAACTTCTGATCATTATCTAATTACCATCTAAGTGAAGCATACTCACTCATCATTTGTCAAAAACAGAAGGATCTACATAGGATCTTCTTAAATCAATTTAAGAAGAACATTTAGTTCAATGAAGAATTAAAGTAGCTCCCCCCCCACCGCCACTCCGTTACAAGTTAGTCAGTCTACTACTAATGTGCTTAATTAGTCACCATTTGATTACAGTTCGTAATAAAGAAATAAGGGGAAGGGGGGAGGGAACATAAGAAAAATATAACAAGACTGTGTTTAATTAAACATATTTGCCCAAATATTAAAATACTCTTACCAAGCTATCAATATCAATTAGTAGAAATTCAAGACAATAGAAATGAAAACTGAATTCCATCTAAGAAGTATCATTACACAAGAGAAATATATTGATACTACTATTACTATCAGTAATGAACACCGATCAATGAACGAGACAAGTAAAACGGAGACAAGAGAGAGGGGGGAGAAATTCGGGTAAGGATGTATCAAAACCACGCACACACACAAACAAACCTATATATATAGAAGTTTGTTTGATTGGTTGGGGGGATTTCATCATCAGCAGATATATCAGTTAGAGAAATCCCCCAAACCAGTCAAACATAAAATTTAATTGGTTGATGGTGACTAGCAGTGGAATACAGGATAACGCGCATTTCGTTCTTTTTGGGATTCGTCAGCCATCTGGATGTACCTGAATTTCCCAGTGAGTCAGTGACGATGTTCCCCGCACCGAGGCTCGAACCAAGTGCCCATAGTTTCAAACGCCAAAGCGTTATCCACTAGACCACTTGGGCCAGGAGAGCCACTGTCTCTTGTGCAACCGGTCATGTTAATTTAGTTGAATTTTAGATTTTCTCGTCGATTGATTGAACCGAAGTGCTCGGTCTCAGGTTGATATGTCAGCTTCTTGTACAGATCTAAAATTCAATTCAATTAACATGACCCGTTGTACAAGAGACAGTGGCTCTCGTGATCCAAGTGGTCTAGTGGATAACGCTTTGGCGTTTGAAACTATGCGCACTGAGTTCGAGCCTCGGTGGGAACGTTATCACTGACTCACTGGGAAATGCAGGTACATCCAGATGACGAGCCCCAAACAGGACGAAATGTGCGTTATCCTGGATTCCACTGCTAGTCACCATCCACCAATTTAAATTCTAATAATATGCCCAGACATCGTCGAAGCATCTGCACAAGAAGCCGACATGTCAACCTGTGACCGAGCACTTCAGTCCAATCAATCGACGGGAAAATCTAAAATTCAGTCAAACAAAATGCCTACAAAACCAATGACTAGAATAAAAACTATTGATCAGAGGTTATAAAATTATCATCTCATTGTCAATCACAGTTTAACAGTATTTCTAGTCATACAACAGTCCTGGAGGTTATTCAACCGGAAAAAATAACTGTAGTCATTAATCCATTATATACATATAAAAGCAAAAACGGTCGACAGGCCCTTGTGAATGAATTGAAGAATCTAGCAAACCCTAATACATAATAATAATTACATGTTTACAGTCATAGAATGAATGCATGAATGAATAAAAAACAATTACTTAAACAGTATGTGTCCTCGCGTTAAGGTCAGGTATAATCACTTATTACACAGTAGATAGTAGTAGTAGTAGTGATAGTAATAATCTGATTAAGGCTAGCCAGGTCTTATGTAAGTTTTCAGAAAGGAAATGAAAGTGACTGGGAAACTACACATACAAAAAAAACATACAGATTTACTCTGATTGGACACTAATTAGGTAGAGACTATAATCATACGTCTAGTCCTTGAATGTGTTGGTGCAGATCGAATTCTATCAGTGAATTTTGCCAATGTGGCCACTGTGATAGGGTGACTCAACATCACGGTGCACTTAGAATTTGCTGTTATTACATAGGTGGAGGATATCGTCAGGAAATCTTGGACCTTGGTTTCGTGTTTATTGGCACTCTCACCAGTCAGTCTGTAATCTTGAAGGAATTTCTTATCCCTGTTGAGACTTGAACCCGTGTAACCCAGTGGCTACAGTCAGAGACGTTACCACTGAGATACTCGGGTTCGCGACTAACCTCCTCCTAAGGAGACTGTAATGGATACTTTCATTGGACACGAAGTAGTAACTAGTGTCAGGCATCTACTCTCGACAGCAATGTAATAGATTGCTTACACTGAACACATTCCACGATTTTGAAGTAATCTAGCACATAAGAAGTCATTCCATCTTTGGAAGTGAACAGTGGAATCCATATTGCCAAAAAGATGAAACAGATCAGTTTCGTCCAGGGCGGTGTACTCATCAGTGGGGAATAAACAATTACATGTGAGGAATTCAGTTACGCCGGAACAGATTTCTTATGCACTAGCTTGTGCGTTGCACAGTCACAGTGCAACAGCTGATGACTGATACTACCTTACCAGTGGCTGACAGACTGACTGGTTTCAACACAGAACTTTGCACCAATGTGCAGCAGTTCGAGTCGCCACACTCCCTTCATGTAACACACAAAGCAAGAGAAGAAGAAAGTAAAAAGAAATGCAAAATAGAGACGGTGAACAGAGATATGAAGCAAAAGGAATAGTAGTATCGAAGAACAATATAGTTTTATTGGGTATTATAAGTCACAAGGAGTGAACGAATCTGTCCCAACATCAACAACGATTTTAGGCCATATCACCGATTGTCTCCAGCCTTCATTGGTTCTTACTTACCATGCCGAGGAACCCAACCAGCCAAGAAGTCTACATCTGCCTACGTGGCTGACTTAAACTAACTGTTGTGGATTTCATTGGTTGGACCACCACCACTAGCTAGGCCTTTTCCAACCTGGTCCTATGTCAGCTAAAAATTCTCGTCGAGGGAGCCGATGGCTAGGTAGGCATATGTAACACATGTCCTAACCAGTGGAGACGTGGCTTACTGGCTTAAGCACTCGTATTTCAGTCAGTGAGTCTTGGGTTCGATCCCCGTAAATGTGTAGTATCACCGAAACTCCCAAAATAAATGTGACTTATTTAAAGTATGAAACCTGAAAGACCTATTCCAGGGATTCGCGTTCAAACAACAACGATAACAACCAGATTATTCCCAGGCTGAAGTAGGTGCAGCAGTGGGATTAGAATCTGATACCTATTGGCTGAAAATCTAGCAATTAGGACCAATCAGTCCACCTCCGCACACAGGAAATTCACACCAATACTATTAACACCATAATAACCAATCAATGAAAGAAATCAATGGAAATATAAATCGAAAACATGTTGGTACAATCCGCGTTACAACAACGACTGATGGCTAATTCATTTCGAGAGAAGAATGATAGACAGATAATGCACTACAGTTCATTTCGGACGAGTGAAAATAATAAATATAACGATAATTATTTACAGTATGGTGGTTCCAACCACCCTATATGTCTGTTCCTAGCGGACCATGAAAGTTAGTCATCTGACTAAGTGACCAGACTGCCAACTTGACTGGGAGGACGCTCAATAGGAACCCACACGCCAAAGACTAGATGATGTATGAAACTTGGTTACTCTTTAGCGACCATTCAATATTAACCGATGACAGAATTTCACGTTGTATTTATTTCGCCACACCGTATCAAATTAGCTGTGGAATAAAAAAATAAACGTCGTAAGTAGGTAGCACCCCATATTCACTTTCCACACAAAGAACTTAGACCTGGCTAACAATTGGATCACTTATCACTCATTAGTTACTGGAAATCCAAGGATGCAGATGACTTCGTTAACTTGTGATTTCAGATCTCAAATCCACAGATTCATCTGTCGACAAAAGATGTAGTGAACATATTAGTCATAAAAGCGATTAATAGAGAACCTGCAGCATAAAAAAGACGTGGAGAGCAGACATTCATGCGTAGAAACAGATAAAGCATATTATGTTGTGTTTTTTGGTTAAAATAATGAAATTTTCAACGACATCGACAACAACGACTACTAACCACAGATGCTCTATGATGTTGTAGGGGAAAATGATGCGGAGGCTGACCACCGCCGCCACTGATAACCGATGTCGGTGGATTTACAGAATTAACCGAGGACGAAGTGAAAACACCCTCACTGATGCTGCTGCTGCTGCTTACAAACTGGCTATCTACAGATGTATCCAATACTGTAGACGTAGTTGTAGTAGTGGAAGTAGTGCTATGAGAAGGTAAAGGAGATGGACCACCGGCACCAGCTAAACGACTTCCAGCAGCTAGAACACCCAATTTCGGTTGATTTGAATGTATTTGTTGTTGCTGTTGTGGTTGTGGCTGTTGTTGCTGTTGATGATGCTGTGACTGACTATAGACAGGTGGAGGAACACGACTACTGTTTAATGGTCGTGAATGTTGTGGGAAATGATGACCAGATGAAGAGGAGGATGATTGAGGGCGTCCATTGACGATAGATCGTTGAGGTGCAACACCTACAGCTGGATGATGTTCACGTTCCTAGGATGAAGGATGATAAATGAATTTAGTTATTGATACACAAACACACACACACACACAAACACCCACGCACACACGTACACACAGATACAACTTCGTGAAACCTATGAATGCGTAGATTATTAGCGAATATATCACAGAGATAAGAGAATTAGTAAGTTGGATGTCATTATATTCAGCTTCTCTCCTCCTATACATTTAAATTTCATTTCACTGGGAACCTCTAAAACAAACAAACAAATGGCAATAAAATGTGTAAGGCGATTCTACGAAGAATTCCAAGTGAGTGATTACGGAGACAAAAATGTAAGTGAAATGGAATATATACAACAGAGAACACTGACAACACTTCAGACTACAACATAAATATCTAAATGAAAAACACAATTATTAAATATGAAATTACATGAGAGAGTATTGGAGACGAAATACATACATGATACACCTAATGTAATATTATAAAGATGGAGTAAGGTTCATTTTGTCAAATGTGTACGCCTACAAATGAGATCACATCATCGGAGGTAAGCAAGAAGAAAAAGTCGCATTTACAAGTTCACTGGCGCATATGCTTACCCGTTATCCACGTCAATAAACGCAAGTTAACTAGACACTCGATTTGAAGTTACTGAGGCATGATTTCATCCGAACAGATATGATACTTCAACACAGAGTAATGCCATAAATTGGCCATTCATATTAGTAAAAAATTATTGCGTAAATTTTCAAGGGATTTGCATCAGTCCAACGGAAATATCTCTGATTCGTCTACACATTATCTAATGTCCTAGATAAACCTGACAATATCTCATTACCACAGTCCAGAGACACATCTGTGGAATCATTCCATCAAGTTCCGATGCTTAGCCCCATTTCATATTGGATACAACTTTTGAAAAACTCAGTGACAACTGGATAGGTGTTGGGTGCAGTGCAGTTTTAGGCTGGTCAAAGTGTTAGCGACCAAATCAAAACCCCGAGTCAAACAATTCAATCCTTAACAGTCTGAGACATACGGACATGCAGACTATCTGGCGAGCTCAGAGTTCACGAGATGCTGAGAACTAATGACTGGAGACTGCTGTTTATACGGCTCAGATACATTTCCTCCAAATTCAACGAGTCGTCATGTTCTTCTATGTGATTATTCTGTCTCATTTTCTTTTTATCCCTTCACGTTCCCAGTGGAACACAGGGCTTCAAGCTAGAGGCTTGAAGTTTCTGTAGCAGTGTTTATTTTTACAGGATGGGGTTGCTAGCCTCATGCCTAACCTTCCCTCTTTGCCAGTTTTATTATTGGCTTAGTGAGGTATAGGAGTGGGTCGGCCGGGGATCGAGCCCCGGACCATGTGCATGGTCGGTGAGCATCCTAACTGCTGTGCCACCGACGCACCACAGGGGTAGAAAGCTCACTGACCAAGCATGTGGTCCGAAGTTCGATTCCCGGTTTACGCACTCCCAAACCTCGCTAAGCCAGTTATAAGACTGGTAAAGAGGGAAGGTTGGGCATGGGGCTAGCAGCCCCATCCCGTAAAAATATTAACACCACTGTTACGGAAACTTCAAGCCTCTAGCTTGAAGCCCTATGTTCCACTGGGAACGTAAAGAAATAAATAAACATGTAAACATTCTCTCTATTACACTAATTTTATTTTTCTCTACCTTTGTGTGCTATGTGGAGTGTGGCAATATGAAATGTTGCACTTCCATGCACAGTTCTGTATTTCAAACTCAGGCAGTCAATCATTGTGTGAATTCATTTACTGAGCTTCCTTTTACGGATTTTGATTAGTTCCGAGGTAGATTTTAGACAAGAACGGAAATCAGTTGGAGGACCATGGTAAATCAATGAGCCGGACTCTACAGCAATGGATAGCCATAACCCTAATCATAACCAGCGACTAGGCGCACATAACCTTTAGGTTTCAAGGTTTGATCACGAGATGGTATCAGTTAGAGAACCATTGGAAAACCTGGGAGTAGTAGTAGTGGACAATTGTTTTATCCTAGTCCAAGACTATTGAGCACAGTAACCACCCTGTGGAATTCGAACCCAGGACCTCTCGGTTACAAGTCAAACCCATAGAACATTAAACCACTGGCATCCAATCCAATAGTCCATGAATTCCAACTTCAACCTATTCTTGATACATAGTGCGACCACCACCAGGCAAATGTTATCAGCGACTAACTACCCTCTTACCTGACTTGTGGGACCTCACTAATGCCAACTGCTACTCACTAGAACTCCCACAAACGATGACACTAGCTGGCAGTTGCGAATCAGCATAAGTTGGAATTCATGGGCCACTGGATCGTGTGTTTCAGTGGTTGAATGGTCTACGACCTCAACCTTTTAACCAGAAGTGTCTGTGCATGCGATGCTGAAGAGTCCCAAACTAAGACGAAACGCCCACTGGTTCTCTAACTAATGTCAACTCGCGACCAAATGTGTATAAACATTGTATAACACTATAATAATAGATCTAATGGACACAGTGTGAAGTGGGACCAGCGTTATTACTGCTGCTGCTGCTGCTACTAGTACAACTACTCTAGTACAGATAGTAATAGGTAATACAAATTACACTCACCCGATGGAATACCTCCAAGTTTATTATTTTGTATACAAAAAACAATTAATATTTACAAGAGATAATAAAGATAAAATATTGAAGTACACAACATTTACTACTATCAGGGGCAATAAAACTCCTCATATGACAAGTACGTGAATACACACAAACATACAATCAGAGGGAGGCAAAGAAACGCACATCAACAGAAAATTCAATAAATCATATACAAAAATCATAAAACTTTAAAATAAGTAAATAAATAATTGAATAGAGATCTAAAACAAAAAATATATAGGCCATTATTATCTCATGAAAACACACACAGTAGATCACGAACGGTAAAAAAATAACGTGAATTTGAAATTCGATTATATCTTTTTAGAATAATTTCAATTTTAAATTACTATGAATGAATCTTATAAATGATCAAGAGGTAATTTTTGGTTGAGTGGATCAGATTTTATTTGTACTTACTACTATTACTATATAGCATAATGAACCCACTCTCTCTCTCTCCCTCTCGAAAGGCCCTTTTATGTGGCCATATGTTTATAGCCTCTCTCTCTCTAGCGTAAACTATGTCCACTGCACTTACATGGTGGACGTGATCCTCACAAAAGTGAAAGGGCAGTGGAATCCAGGATAACGCGGATTTCGTCCTGTTTGGGACTCGTCAGCCATCTGGATGTACCTGCATTTTCCAGTGAGTCAGTGATGATGTTCCCCGCACCGAGGCTCGAACCCAGTGCCCATAGTTTCAAACACTAAAGCGTTATCCACTAGACCACTTGGGCCATGAGAGCCACCTCTTGTGCAACTGGTCATGTTAATTTAATTGAATTTTGGAGCACTTCGGTCCAATCAATCGACGGGAAAATCTAAAATTCAATTAAACTATGGTGTGCTTGTCTCTAGAATTTGAAAGTATCGAATAACGGAAACCATTGCAATACAGTTTCTGACGTTGTGCCACTGCCTTGTGAATCGGATTTCAAGTCAAAGGATCGAGGAGTCGACTCTTAAAATAACCATCTGCTTCAGTGTGTGCGTCTGGGCAGTATCTCAGCCTTAAAACAATCTATGCGATTTTGTGTGGAACATCTCTGGGTGCTCATATTGTACCAAGTTTGTGCTATAATGACATAAATAACAATAATAATCAATTGTTAGGTCAATATGACCCATATCGCCTGTGTATATCCTGTGTGCTTGTATACTCTGTCTCAAAAGAGTTCTCCGTACATCCAACTACTTAGATAGAATTCAGATGATTTGATCAGATTCGACTGTTTGATTTGAGTTCAATGAGATATACAGCTAATGAACTGAGCCCCACAACGAATGAAACGGTTGTCCAGACATTGGATGACTTCCATCTGCGTAGCAGGTACTACCGATTGATATGATATTCCAATCAGTAGGATGCACTAATAACCTTAGTAAGTAGGAAACAGTCTGAAAGTGAAGTCTACTAGCTAAAATTCACCTATTCATTACATCCTCTTGAGTGAGTCATAAACATGTGATCACTGTAAATTTAATTTGTAAGCATTTACTGTGATCAATAAAACACTGGATATGAAAGACTGATTGATTAATGCTCCTATGGAGCCAGTTAAAAATTTGCCATCGACCTAGGAACTTAATTTTTCGTGCTCAGGAACACTGCACTTACCAGTCAAGGTTAAATAATAGGTGTGGTTAAAACCGCTAACAGTTCTATATATGGGACTACCTAATCCGAACACGCCAAAAAACTAACATTGGAGAATATTTGTCTATCATCTACCGGGGATCAAATAAATTACCAAAAGACTTTTTACACACACACACACCCAAAAACAACCCAAACAATTCACCTGAAAAAGTTCGAGTTCTGTGTGCAAAAGAAGTAGGTCCAGACATCCAGTATTGCTAGCCTGGTCTACCGTCGTGCCTATAAATTCATTTTATTCCATTACGTTCCCAGTGGAACATAGGGCTGCTTCAAGCTTCTCGAGCTTTAAAGTTTCGGTAGCCAGTGGTGTTTACTTTTTACTGGATGGGGCGTTGCTAGCCTCATATCCAACTTTCCCTCTTTACCAGTCTTATAACTAAATTAGCGAGGTAAGGGAGTACGTCGACCGGGGATTGAATCCCGAACCACCTGTGTGGTTGGTGAGCATTCTCTCTCTGTACAACCGACGAACTCTTTAACTATAACTGTCCTATAAATGTAGAAACTGATAACGAATTTATCGAAAAGAATATTCTTTGTTCACTAATCAGTCTTATAAAATCTATTATTCTGCATCTTCAATGAATTCAATAATTGTTCATTTAAATATTTAAATATCACAACTTCGATAATCTTGGATCAGGTCTTTGTCATATTCTAGACTATGCGTCACACTGATTGTATGACAGCAGATAAAAACACTAAAAAGTTGCTCAAAGTGAATTAATAAGCTGGGAAGGGAATCGAACCCACAACCCACTCGCTGAACAAATGTATCTTCAGCACAGAAAAGACACAATTGCTCCCAGTACCAGGCTAAGAGTCACAATTGCAGTTTAAGGGCGCTCACGGTAGTAATCAGTTGCTCAAGCTGAGGTATATAGAGTGGGAGGTATTATTTAACTGAAAGTCGATGAACCTTATTCTCCGACAGTTACTCATCATCAAAGATTAAGAAAATGGGGTGGGGGAGAAAAACAACGAAAAAAAAAAACACAAACAAGAAAAATATCAAATTCAAATGAAATAAAACTCCAGTTGAACACAAAAAAGGAAACAGAAATCTTACACTGATGAATTATGCAGTGTATATGTATTACTGATAATGAAAAAAATCATAATGCACACATACACACAAATCAAAAAAGGAGTAGCATAGTAATAAATAAGACGACATAACAGTTATAGTGATGACGATGATCAAGGTGATGATGTAATCATGCTTTCGATACATACATAGCAACAGAAATATTTAAGTATATATATATATATGTGCAAAACAACGATATATTGTATATAAATTAACCATGCACAGTTATAGTTTCCGTCTGTCTTCATCGCCTACTGACACACACGCACAATAATATTTTCAAATTACTCAACAATAATAATAATTGGGAAAAGTATATATATATATATATGATTATTATTATTATTGTTCCCTTGGGTTCCTAGTGGAACATAGGGCTTCAACTACACATCTCCACTTGCTTCTGTCTTCTGCTGTACTTTTCACCTGCGTCCATGTTAATCCATACTGTTTCAATTCCTTGCCTAGATTACTAGCTCGCTAGTTTCCTTGCCGGTCCCAAGCCCGGATAAAGAGGGAGGGTTGGGGCATGGTACTAGCAACTCCACCCCCAAAACTTAACCAAATTGCTACAGAAACTTCAACGCACAAATATATTAAAAATACTATATATATATATATATATATATATATATATATATATATATATATATATATATGAAAATTAATTCAGACTTATAGAAAGATAGATTCTGAGAGGCTAGGTTGATGAGAGACAACCCTTAGTCGTCAAAAAAGTTTACTGTACACTTTGACAAGGGTTATTATTAGCTGCAGCACAACTTGCTGAAGAGTCCCCAATTTGAAAGAAACAAGTATTACAATACTGAAATGATGCCTATTTAAAACTGGAATGAAAATTTTTCAAGAGTTAGTTAGTCAGTTATTTTCAATTTTGACCACAGATTGATATCAATTGGAGAACCATGAAAAACCAGCACTGAAGTACTGGAGAGCTGTTTTGTTGGGACTCATCAATACTAAGCACCCACACAGGGGTTCAAACCCAGAACCTACCGGATATAATCAATCTGAAGTGAAAATTGACGATGAAAATAACCAGAGCGAATGATGACTGTAAAATTAAGATCATCTGAGATGATCTTGAGTAGGAAGACTATTACTGTGATGTGATCCTTGGTGATGGAAACTGAAGTGGAAATCTGCACGGGGAAGGGGTCACGACAAAATTCTAAACAGCGATCTCCAAACTACCATTCCGACGCCCAACCAGCCAAGCTACGATATTAAACTGCTAACCCCATATCATCATTTCACTGCAATTGCAAGGTAGAATGTACAGTCGTAATGCGAATGAATGAGGTACTTTCTTTCACTCCCTAAGTTCTGATTAAAACATGGGGGCTTTAAGCATCGGTAGTGTTGGTTTCATGAGATGAGGTTGATATAGTCTCATGCGTAATTTTACATCTTTCATAAGCTTTCTATCGACTAGGAGTCCATCGGTCGGGAGTCGAACCTACACCATCGTATGTGTGCCTGTCACGCCTTCTACCATTGAGCCATCGATACTACGCGTTACTGTCCGTAGATGCTACCACATTAACCGCCTTCTCAGCCAGGAAGAGCATGACGTTAGCTGATTGATGACTGTCTGATTTAAAAGACTGTTATTTTTCTCAGCATACGATATATTCCAATTTTTTTCCTTCACGTTCCCCAGTAGAACGTAGGGCTTCAAGCTAGTGGCTTGAAGTTTCTGTAGCTGTGTTTATTTTACAGGATGGGATTGCTAGCCTCATGCCCAACCTTTCCTCTTCACCAGCATTATTTCTGGCTTAGTGAGGTAAAGGATTGAGTCAGCCGGTGATCAAACCCCGGACTATGTCCATGGTCGGCGAGCGCCCTAACCGCTATGCCACCGACGCCTATATTCCATTACTGGAGGAAAATAGCATTTGAAGCCATGCAAATAATTACATCGTGTGGCTGGATGTAAAATGCTTATTCTGTGGTGAAACTTCATTGTTGTATAAGGTATCACGTAATTCTTATTTGGAACTATTGAACAAAAAATGAAAGTAACCATCATACTTTATTCATTTTTCTAGAATTTGTTAAACGATCTGTGCGAAGTAAAGTTGACATATTTAAAACATGAGCGGTGAACTTGCAATGATTTCATTATGCTCTCCACAATTACTGGCACTTGCAGAGACTGTTGTTCCTCCCCCATACACTAGAATCAGAGTTTATGATTCCCCAAGTATCACTTTTCTAAACATCCAGTGAAGCATACCAAGAAAAAACCACAGATTGATGGCTCTTGACAATATAAAGAAACACACACACACACTAGACCTGATGTGTGAAAACTATGCAGGTTTAAAGGCCTACATAGCAGACAGGAAAGTAGCCCTTTAAGAACAAATTAAAGTACACATTTCCACAGACATTATGGAGTCATTCAAATACAGAAACACGCAAGTTACCTGTAAGCGAGCGAAATTTTGACGTAGTGTATTTTCACCTGGTTCTTTAGCATTCACAGTAGCTGATTCACCTTCATCTAATCTTGATAATCGATTATTGTGATGCATACCCGATTGAGGTGTAGCAAGGGGTAGTTTATTATTATTCATTGCTGTTGGCATAGGATTTCTTCCAGCGAATCGAGGATCCACTGAAATCGCCGGTGTATGCTGTTTAAAGTTTAATCCTGCAACTGAGGATGTTGGTGGTGGTGCTGCTCCAGGGAATGGGACAAATTCATTATGATCACCCCCGCCGCCAGGTCGCATCATTTGATGATTAGGGTATAATTTATCCGGTGGATGACGATACTGAGGTGGATGTTGATTAGGCAGACGATGTCCTTGTCCATTAGCTCCAACACCGACACCACCAACACCACCAACGCCACCGCCAACGGCTGCAGCAGCGGCAGACATCGCTAAAGCAGCTGCTGCAGCGCCTTTAGCAGCAGCACTCGTCTCCTCTTCGTCCTCTTCATCACTTCCTTCATATTCATAAATTTTCTCGTGCTCTTCAGCTAATAAGGAAAACAGGGATCAAATGTAAACAAATACACGAATGATAAAAAATAGAACAAGATAAGGTGTCACACACTGACTGACTGACTGACTGAGTTTCAACAGAGAACTTTGCACAGAGGTGCAGCAGTTCAAGTAGCCATACTCCATATGTAGCATACAAAAGCAATACATCTGAAGGAGAAAGAATAGTAACATGGCGAAATACGATGGTTTAGTGGATATAAGGGGGCAAGAAGAATGTATCTGCCCCACTGACAATCATTTTGAGCCTCATCTCTCCAACAGTCTCAAGTCATTGGATCTAAGTATCTTGAGGACGCCAGCCAGGCGGCCTACGCCTTCCCTACATGGTTGAAACCAACAGTGAAAGACTTCATAGATTGATTCCAGAATTGTTTGTTTGACCACCTTGAACTATTTCTCCACCCAAACTTAACATTGCCCATCGCGAAAGGAGATTGCTCAGCAGGCACAACACACATATCGTTCCCATCTCAAATCGATGTGGCTTCACAATGTCATCCACCGACCTAACCTCCTTACTTAACACTACTCTTAACCTCGATATTACTCGTCATACTATACCATTTCACACCCTTCACTTCCGACCGCCACGTGTAACAGTCATGTGTACTGCTGAGCAGTACACACTTCCTTCGATTGATAGCTGGATATCTCTAATCTACACCAGAGATAACGTGAGCTGAAAGATGTCACATATGCTGAGATTTCGTCACCAATCATTCCATTGAAGCTGATGAAACTTCCCAAATAAATGAAGTGGTCAACACGCTCAATCACCATTTCACTGCCTATCTTACATTTGACATGAGCGAATCGTATGTCAAACATTCGAAGACTGCTGCTCACTGTTGCTGTTTTGAAGACTCTGCATTTTGTCAGCATCTTCACCTGAAAAGGCTATATCATCTGCATATCCTAAGTCAACGAGATTGTACCCTGGTAAACAGACAATTCCTGGCTCGGTGAAGTCAGTTAGGGTTAAGTCCATTAGTATATGTACAATGAAATTAAACACAAATGGAGACACTAGGCATCGTTGACAGATAAAACTAGTTGTCATCACTGCATATGACGCCTCTCCATACGCTCTTGTACGGCTATATGCAACACAGTTAATCAACATTGAGGGCATAAGAACCAATGAAAGGAATTACAAGCCAACAATACAATACTTTAGTCACTTCCACTAACTGGATTTTGTCTCAACTAAACAGAAAATTCCAGCTTTCTCATTCTTCACGCTAATACCATAAGACTTTACTATTCTTACCGTATAAAGCTCACTTGAAACTAGACATGGAATATATATATATAGAGAGAGAGAGAGAGAAACCATGCCTGTCAATCAGCTTAGAGATTACAGAGACTCATCATCGAACCTTCAGTTTAACAGGTCGACAATCAACTCTTAGACTAAAAACGTGAAAAATAACCAACTGACTGTTAAAAGTGAACTTGGTTTGGACATAAATAACCAACAGAGTTGTTTCACTAGAAACTCCCATCAATGAAATATCCTAATTTTGACATTATCATTTTAGCTATTGTATGAAAAATCGTATAACTGCTTTAATTCTTTGTTAGGATACAGACAAAATTATCTGTCATATATTGGAGTCAGTTAATAGACAGTTACTATTTACGTCATAAACCCCGTAGACATATTATCGATATTTTCTGACTGACAAGAGAATTAGTCTGGAAAGAAGTTGGACATGTTGTCTGGGTAATCTATTTAGAGCGTATATATATATATATATATATATATACGTGCGTAAATAAAATTTAATTCACTCAAAGGTGAAATTTGGACAGATTTTCCCGGGAAAAATGCAACTCTACGTCGATGCACTCCTCTACTCCGCTAAGCCGGTTATAAGACTGGTAAAGAGGGAAGGTTGGACACGAGGCTAGCAACCCCATCCTGTAAAACCAGACCCTGCGACAGAAACTTCAAGTCTCTAGCTTGAAGCCCAATGTTCCAATGGGAACGTGAAGGAATAAAAAAAAGTCACATAGGGAGATGTAGACTGACTTCCTGGTTGAAGTTCTCGGGATGGTAGAAACCAATGAAGGCTGGAGACAGTTGGTGATATGGCTCAAACTTATCGTTCTCAATGATGGCGCAGATGCATTCACTCTTTGTGATTTGTCATATCCAATAAAATTCTATTGTTCTTCCACTATATTACTAAATTTTTTCCTTAATTCACACTTCTATTTATTATCTCTCTTTTGAGCCTCTCTTTACTCTTTTGTCTTGCTTTGTGCTGAGTGCGGCAACTCGAACTGTTGCACATCTTTGCAACGTTCTATGTTGATACCAGTCATTCAATTTAAGCTACCATATAGGAGACTGAGTGATGTAGGTAGTTTTTTGACTGAATGTGAATGGCTTAACAGAATTCTTGCTTTTGATTGTCATCTGGATAGGACATTTATAGGTACTGTGGTTGCACAATCTACCTTGTGTGTTTAATAACGAAAAGCAACAATGCGCGATAATTTTTTCTCATAAGAAGATATACAATGATGATGTTTCAAGCACAATTTATTGCTCACAATCATATCACAGCACTCACACACATTAGTTCCTAAATTAGTCCATATAACTGCATTATTTCTTATCCTTTCATTTTATTGGTATTAATATTTTCTATATCTCTGTTATTGGCATCACATCAGTCCTGCTGTGCATGTGTTGTTAAGTGTAGATTCGATGGACAAAGATTCGGGAATAAATCTTCTCTGTTCATGTAATCTAATACTCGTCTAATACACAAGTCAAACCAATAGATCGCTTGTAGTTAAGGTGATCAGAAACCCCAAGCCTGTAATTTGAAGCCCTATGTTCCAGTGGGAACGTAAAGAAATAAAAAAGCGTCATCTTCAGCAGAGCCAATAAGGGTAGTTAAATCCCTAAATCAACTTCATTGACTTTGAAAAGGTCTTCAACAGAGTTGACGACGAAGAAGTAATTCGGAAACTACTTCAACACTGTGGCTCACAGTGCCCAAGTCTTTATCAATCTTCATTCAACAGTCATGTGACAATGGCAAGTGTCAAATGATTCACAACGGATAACTCAGTGAGGCGGCGTTTGAAGTCTATCTATTATCATCGATGACATTCCTAATCTTGGTGGAATGGATTATAATACGTCAGACTGTGCACTGGGACAGAAAAGACAGGAATACTCTGGACGACCAACAAGAAGGCTCTAGAAGATCTGGATTTCGCGCAGATTATATATGTCTGATGTCACACAAAGACTCGAAGACTTACAGGCGAAAACCAACAAACTGGCTGAAGATGCTGACAGGCAGCGGAGACAAGACTCCATGTGAACATTGAGAAGACGGAGGTGATGAAGACAACCAACCAAAAAAAGGTAACAATAACTATCAGTGAAACAAATATGAAAGTGCTCACTTTCTTCACTTATCTAGAAAGCATCGTTTCATCAACAGGTGGCGGCGTAGATGAGGGTGTTAAGGTAAGAAGTGGAAAAGTGAGATAGGCATCCCTCATTCTGCATTCACTGTGCACAAAAAGCCAGATTCGCACTTTCAACACCAATCTTCTTCTATATGCGTTAGAAACTTGACAAGCGCGTCACGAAAAGTATTTCCAACAGGCTTCTGCAAACTTTTATCAACAGTTGACTTCACTAGCTCAAAAATGAAGATCTAATGGCCAGAAAAAATTAGCAGCAACGAACTCTGGGAATTTACTAACTAGGGACCTATTTCTGAATGTACATTATCCCATATTGATTTTTATTCAAATATCTAGTCAATTCCAGACATGTATATGAATGAACGAAAAAGTTGTGTGAGTAGTGACTTGATATGATTATGAGTGGCAATAGTTTGTGCTCGAAACGTGGTCATCAGTTAATATAACTGTACAACACTGTGTGATTTATCGAAATAAAATCCTATCCATAATGGAGTTATACTGCACCAGCACAGTGCCCAAGTTTTATACTTATATCCATATTACTCACCCCACAACATTCACTTTTTCTGTACGCATCAATTCTAAGAGAAATAAAAATCAATAAGCCAGTCAACGGATACTTTTTCAACTTGGCCTCGCTTAATCCATACAACAGATTATGGTGCCATCATCTGCAGACAAAGTTTCACTATCAACATCCACATGAATAAGGTAAAACTAAGACCCTGGAATGACTGCTGTTTATTTCAAATATCATTATTATTATTATCTTTTGTTTATTTGATAGATCACCACACTGTGTAGGCAAGCGGATGGGGTGGGTAAGGATTACGCTTCAAAAAACATAATTTACTCTTCATAAACATAATATATAATAAAACACTGTTATGTTTAACTGACAAATATAACATCATCATAGCAATAACAATAATAGGTGTTACTTTATTATTGCGAATGTGTTTCATAAATCATCATCAAAATTCAATTTAGTTTTTTGTTGTTGTTTTGTTTTGTTTTCTAACCGTGTTAACAACAACACGTGACGGCTAGACAATGTGAGCACATATCGATTATAATTAGAGAGGTATAGATCTAAAGCTAATACGGCTGACAGGATGTTGTCACTTTAAAGCTTCGATTAGGGTAAGAGAGAGAATGAGATTTCCGTCTCAAAATTATTTTAAAAAAACATCTAAGCGCTATACTCGTTAAATGCATCATAAATAAATAAACAAATAAACTAGAGGAATGAGAACAATTGATGGGCAGAATCCACTGAGTAACTGGGGACGATGATACCGCCTGGCTGTCTACCCCCCACCCCCGGTCGGTAGGTGAGCAGCCCTACAAACCGTCTCTCACAGAATTATATCAGAATACCAACACATACGAAATACACAAGCCCTACTATACACACACACACAAGAGTTATTGGGTAATGACCAAGTTGAAATTTCAATAATTTCGTCCGAGATGCTTCCGAAATACTTTGGGAAAGTCTTCAAGAAGA